TAAACCATAGTTAAAATTCATTACAGTTAATGCAGAGCTCCTGTTCAAAGCTCCATAGATAAGGCACAATTTATGTAAATTCCAGATGCTACGTTGGGCATCTCTGCACTTTCATCAAAAACTTATTTATTTTAAATATGCCATCTTTACAATTTAAAGACTGTTCAGACTTGTCTTACAAAGTACACAATATCCACACAATCGGGGTAAAAAAAGCTTAATGAAGGCTGCCCAAATGAATAAACTTCACACACTGTCAATTTTATGTTGCCAAGGATTTCTTCAAATTAAATCCCATTGCTTCTGTACAGGTTTTTTTTTAGACCTTATTGAATTGCAAATAACAACATAAGCTCTGTTTTTGCTTGTGGAAATAAGCAAACAACCTTCCTTTTTGATTCATTAATGATGAAGCTGGGATATGTATGAAAGCAAAGAATTTAAGCCTCCTGTCCGATCCAGGTTACAACCCAAGTTTTTTGCCACAATCCTGATCTGTCTCTCAAAAGCTGCGTCATAGACTCGCAGTTCAGGATATAGATTGCTCCCAATATAAATGCATCTTTTTCATAGCCAACACTTTCCTGACGCAGGCAGATAATTCCTAGAAGCAACATGATTTTTTTTATTATTTTTTTAAAAAAATGCTATTCTCATCTGGGGCCTGTTGTATAAGATAGATAACCCATTTTTCACACATAATGAGACAGAAAATTACATTCCAGCTCCAGCCTAATTGTCTTTGTAGCATATGCATAGAGACATTTATGCCTCTTTTAAATGCAAATTTCCTCTAGATCTCTTTAAGTGATGCAAACAGAAGGGAAGTTCAGAGGCAAGTAGGGGGATCCATCCCAAGTTAAGCATTTGCCCTAGACTGAGTTGGGGTATGGATTCAGATAGTTCAGTGCTACCTCTGTTGAGTTGCAGCAATCACACAGAATAATATTATGTGAAGCTCAGTCTATGGCTTCATATCCTTCTGTTCCGTGCTATTAGCAATTTTCCATCCTTCTGAAAGTGGGAAAGTGATAAATTTGCATATTTGTTCAAAGGAGCTATGAATTTTTGAATGGTTTTTAAATGAATGGTCAAAAGTTGAGCATAGACAGGGAGAGAGTGTCAAATTATGAAGCAATCCACACATGGGGCCATGGGTGAAATCTCTCCCTATCTGTGAACTTCAGTTGAAACCAGCCACAGAGAAAGAAGAAAACCTATAAAATAGTGTCTCCCACCCCTCCCACCAAAGGTGATTTAAAAGGATACCTTGGTTCAGTACTATGGTATTGAAAACCAATGAGTGATCAAGGAGCAATAGGATGGAGTTACCACTTTCATCCTAGCTCTGCCACGGGATATCAAGAAATCTGGATTTTCTTCCCAGCCTCCCTCCAACTCCCCAACTTTTGCCAATTTCTCTTACAGTATCACATTTGATCCTGTTCTGTTCAGTTTGGCAAGAATTATACTGCCAAGGGATGAACAGACTTCTGAGCTGTCCTTTGTATAATTTCTTTCAAACTTGCTATTGAACTGGAAAGGATCAAAAGAGTAACTTCTCCATACTCTCTATTTCTCTGTCTTCATTTCCACCAAGTGAAGAAGTGGAATGGCATTGGAAGAAATGGCTTTATTTCATTATCAAAGCCAAATTAGCCAACAACAGCCTAACAAACCCTACTCTCTTCTAGCACTGAGGTTGTGAGGTAGTTTGATAATGAAATATCTGCAAGGAAACAGACAAGCTCAGAGAGCACCAAGGACTATACAATAATACTCTGAGCTCCAAATATTCCCTTCTATCTGTGCCAATTTCTTGATTTACATAATAATGTGTTCTATGAAGCAGATGTAATATAGAAACAGTGTGGTGTGTGATTAATGACACTTATCATTAATAGTACTGTAATTCTGTTATTTCGGGTTTGGTTCAGTAGAGTGTATGAATATCAGTGGGAGCGGATAAATGGACTTGGAATGCAATATAATAAGCATCAGCATTTTGATTAATTTGCCCTGAATATGGAAAACCTTTAAAAGGGGGAGAAAAGGCTTTCTAGCCCTGGAATGACATATTTATTATCTGCAAGCTGATCTGTTCAATTACCGCAAACTTATCTCTCTTCCTCCTAAAACAATATTAGGCTAAGTCCTTGGGGCCTGTTGCCTGCAAAATATTGCTAACAAGGAAGTTATGAAGCAACTGTTGTGCTGTTACTGAGAAAAAGCCTCTGCCAGATGTAGGAAAAACAACCTCTCTTGTAACTCTTCCCACCAATAATAACCCACCCTCTTTCAAGCATTCCAAGCATACTATAGCCTCCTTTTCAACATAAAGGAAATGCCAAGAAAAATGATATAAGGAATCAAGGTGTGCTTCTTTTCACCAGAGGATGCCGGGCTTAGAGCCAGGAATTTGTGTGGATTTCTAAGGGCTAAAGTGGATCCAGTGTTTCTCAACCTTGACAATTTTAAGGCATGTGGACTTCAACTCCCAGAATTCCACAGCCAGCAATGCTGGCTGTGGAATTCTGGGAGTTGAAGTCCACATGCCTTAAAATTGTCAAGGTTGAGAAACAATGCGTAATACAGGCTTCCTGCTGTATTCACTTTGGAAAGTTTGCACACATATTTTGTAGTAAATCTCTTAGGTGTGTATGGTGGAGAGAGGGTGTTTTTTGTGTGTACGCATGACTGATTGCATCTTTGTGGATTGTTTTCTTCCTTAGTGAGCAATTAGGAAAAATCTGTCTTTCATGCCATTGTTATACAGGTAGTCCTTGACATACAGCGGTTTGTTTAGTAACTATTTAAAGTTATGGCCACGCTGAAAAAAGTGACTTACAACTGATCCTCACACTTACAACCATTGCAGTGGGGTCTAGGACAACTTGCCCTGGCCAACTCGCCCCAGCTAACTTGCCGTGGGACAATTCAAGGCAGAATAACTCAAGAGAGACAGACAAATGAATTGCAGTGGGGCTTGTCTTGCTTTAGAAGTCCTCAAGGCTTAGAATAACAAAATAACAGAGTGGGAAGGGACCTTGGGGGTTTTCTAGCTCCACCCCCTGCTTAGGCAGGAAATCTTATACCATTTCAGACAGATGATTGTCCAATCTCTTCTTAAAAACTTCCAGTGTTGGAGCATTCACAACTTCTGGAGGCAGGTTGTTCCATTGATTAATTGTTCTAACTGTCAGGGTGAGCTGCAGTTCTACTTGTCCCTCTATTGAGTTATTCTGTGTTGAATTGTTCTGCGGCGAGTTGTCCCATAGCAAGTTGGCATGGCAGGTTGTCCTGCTGCGAGTTATTTAGAATAGAATAGAGCTGGAAGGGACCTTGGAGGTCTTCTAGTCCAACCCCCTGCTCAAGCAGGAGAACCTATACCATCTCAGACAAGGGACTGTCTAGCCTCTTCTTAAAAACCTCCAGTGATGGAGCGCCCACGATTTCTGGGGGCAAGCTGTTCCACTGGTTAATTGTCCTCACTGTCAGGAAGTTTCTCCTTAATTCCAGGTTGCTTCTCTCTTTGATCAGCTTCCAACCATTGTTTCTCGTCCTTCCCTCTGGTGCTCTGGTGAACAAAGTGACCTCCTCTTCCTTGAGGTAGCCCCTCAGATACTGGAATATTGCTATCATGTCTCCCTTATTACTTCTTTTCTTTAGACTAGCCAAACCCAAGTCCTGCAGCCGTTCTTCGTATGTTTTAGTCTCCAGGCTTTGATCATCTTAGTTGCTTTTCTCTGATTTTTTTCCAAACTCTCAACATCCTTTTTGTGAGGTGATCAAAACTGGCTGCAGTATTCCAGATGTGGTCTTACTAGGTTTTTATAAAGTGGTACTAATGCCTTGCGTAATCTTGATTCTATGCCTCTGTTTATACAACCCAGGATTGTATTAGATTTTTTGGTTGCTGTTGCACACTGCTGGCTCATGGTTAAGTGATCGTCCTCTAGGACTCCAAGGTCCCTCTGTTGGCTGGGGCGAGTCAGCCAGGGCGAGTTGTCCTATTTCAATTGCAGTGTCCCTGTGGTCACATAATCAAAATTTGGCAGTTTGGTAACTGGCAAGTATTTACGATGGTTGCAGTGTCCCGGAATCATGTGATCACCATTTGTGATGTTCCTAGAAGGCTTTTGAGAAGGAAAGTCAATGGGGAAAATTAGATTTGCTTAATGAAGATGTAGTTCACTTAATGACCGCAGCAAAAAGGTCATAAAACTGGGTGCAACTCACTTAATGACTCCTTCACTTACTGACAGAAGTGCCAGTCCCAGTTGTGGTTGTATGTCAAGGACTACGTGCATATTTGTGAGTAAAGAGTGCTGTTTAAAATAGAAAAACCTACCATTCAAAGAAGGAGCTGAGCTGTATTATGCCTGACTGTGGTAGGTCTCTTATGGCTCCAGGCCCAGCTAGTATCAATCATTTTGAATGAAGATAACAGACAGACAGAAAAAACAAAATACTAACTTTGTGAATTGGAAAGCTCCCCTATCAAATACTGTAATACTTTCTCTGGAATTCCCTGGGTGGCTATAAACTAAAGATGCACAACTTTTTGACCTAAAACATTAGCTAAGGCCCTCAGAGAAAACAAGCTGCTGCTGTTTCGTCATTTTTTTACGTGGCATACATTGAGCAGATGTCATCAGATTTATTGGCTTTAATGGTGCTTCCCCATTGTGCCAACACATGACTTTCCTTGGCTGACAAGGGAAGTAAACTTTCTGCATCTTCATGACTTTTCTTGTTGCAAAAGCTAGCTCTCAGCTAGGAGAACATAGAAGCAGTTAGACCCAAAGGTGCTTTTTCAATAGGCAACTGGATTTTTTTTTGTTTTTTCCTTGAAGACGTTTTGCTTCTCATCCAAGAAGCTTCTTTGGTTCTGAGAACTGGAGGACTGAGAATCTCCATAGATAGATGCCGTTAGGAGGATTTCCCACCAACCCATTCCCAGTAACACTGCAGGGACTCTCTTCAATTTCTCCTCCCAGAGAGAAGGCTGTCGGATATGGAAGATGACCATGATGAAGGGAACCGACGGGTTGGGAATCCAGATCACTGGAGGCCGTGGATCCAAGCGCTCCCCACATGCCATCATAATTGCCCGGGTGGAAGAAGGTGGATCAGCTCACAGGTAGCATTTGTTGTGTGGTCTTTTAATGAAAGTCTGTCTGTCCCCAAACTTTTAATTAGATACACCTCAGGATCAAAAGCTCAAGTACAACAAAACCAGATAACATGTGTACATTATTTGATTTACACCTGCTTGTTGGTTGTGATTGGTTTTCAAAGTAACTTTCATATTAAAATCAAACATATAACAACAGTGATCAATAAATAAACTGGGAGACTTTGAGTTCTAGTCTGGCCTTGGGTATCAAAGCCAGTTGGAAGGCCAGCCATTTTCTCTCAGTCCTAGGAAGGAGGCAATGGCCAGCCACTTCCAAAATCTTGCTGAGAAAAACTGCATGGATGGATGGATGGATGGATGGATGGATGGAAGGAAGGGATGATCTATTATTATCATTTTATTATCATTATATTTTACTAATGAGAAAGTCTCCTCCCCCTTGTTGCCAGAAAAGCTTGACAATCCTGGTTACTATGTACCTGATTTGACTGTGTTGAAGGGACCCATTTGCACAACCTTCTGGATTTATTGTGTTGCATTTGTTTTCATTTTTGCATTCCCACAAGAACTCTTTACTAAAAATATTTCCCAAACTTTTTCTCTCAGAAATATTTTTTTCTAAGGTGTCCCAGTAACCCTGAGTAGCTTACTGGTAGAAATAAACATGCTTGTTCATGTTGTTATAATCCTCAGAGAAACAGGTCTCTGTATCTAGAGATTTAGCAAGAATACTAAATATAAAACTTGAAAAATAAGGAAGTTAAATTATGAACTTGCTTTGTTCTGAAAACAAAACCTGCTGAGGGATAACTCCTTTTGATGGGGTGACCTCCTCCCTGTGGCAGATTTGAGGTAAATAATGCTTCTCTCCCCCCCCCCCCTTGGGTTCTTGAATCCTCTGTAGATTGTTTTACTAGTAATAAATTTAAAGGTAGAGAAAATGGAACAGTTTTGAACAGGCTGCTTCTGGAAAGTTTAAGACTTCAAATATATTAAAAGAACAACGCTAACTGGAACATACAAGCAATCCTCGACTTACAATCCCAGTTAAGCCCAAAATTTCTGATGCTAAGTAAGACATTTTAAAGTAAATTTTGCCCCATTTTATGATATTTTTTTTACTACAGTTGTTAAGTGAATCAGTACAGTTGTTAACAACATGGTTTGTTAAGTGAATCTGGCTTCTCATTGAATTTGCTTGTCAGAAGATTTACATGGGCCCGGGATCCTGCAACCGTTCTAAGTACACACCAGTTGCCAAGTGTCCAAATTTTGATCATATGACCATGGGGATGTGGCAGTGCTTGTAAGTGTGAAAAATGATCATCGGTCATTTTTTTTCTAGTGCCATTATAACTTCAAATGGTCCCTAAACAAATGGTTGTAAGTTGAGGACTACCTGTATTCAATTTTTAACCTGCCACAGATAAACTGTACATATTTGTTTTTAAATCTAAGTACTCTTGAACATGGATGTAACCAAGGTATCTGTAGGGTAATTGGATCTTTTTATTTCTCAGCAGAATTATTTTGATCAGAGGAATGAAAAACAAAGCTATTTTGGAGATCTATCAGCTGAATTAAGGACAGAGGCAACTTATTTAATAAAAAAAAAATCTCTGTTGTGATTGCAGGACTTGGATATCTTACTGGTGTTTTTCAGCAACTAAGTCAATCTGCCTTCACCAATTTCCTATCCTCCCATTGCATTCCAGGGGTTCTCAACCTTGGCAACTTTAAGACTTGTGGACTTCAACTTCCAGAATTCTGGGAGTTGAAGTCCACAAGTCTTAAAGTTGCCAAGGTTGAGAACCCCTGCTTATTAGACTGTAGTTTACATAGTTCCAAGCCAGGTTGGGAAAGGCAGCAGTAGGCACCTAGTCCAGGACCATCTGCAAATTCTACAGCCAAACTACTACTACAATTACAATTACTAAGTGTTTCCTTCTTCAACTCAATTTATCTTGGGGCAATAGAACTCCACTCCCAGCATTAGAAATCAATCTTCTGCTTCTTTCTGGAGAATGGAAGAATTTGTAAGATTAAAAAAAGAAAAGAAAGCCAATCTTTTTTAGCATGGTTTATTGCATGTAACTTGCCTGGCCTGTGATAAAACTTTCATTAGTACTGGAAAAGGAATATAGATCACCAGGGAATATTGTATGTGTTATCTGTATGAGCCCCAGTAGGCCTAATATAAAGTGGATAGTTATAGAGCGGTTATGAAGAGTTTTCCAGGCTAACTTAATATGACCTAACTTAGATTTCAAGATCATTAACATGGCTCTGCATCCAAGCCCAAAACCATGTAAGAAAGCAAGAAAAAATGCTGAAATTTTACAATGTTGTAGTTTTTGGGAGTTGCAGAATGCCCAGGTCCAGGAAAAATGTCTTGGCTTGGCCAACCTAGGTGCAGCCGATCAAAGTATTGAAGCTACAGTCCAAGTTGGGTGGGGTGCAATCTGACTTTCAGTACTAAACCTTAAAGGCAAATTTTTAAAAGAAAAGTGATACATGAGAATTTTTGTATTTGAGAATTCTCTTGGGAAGAAGTTTGTGTTTGTTTGGTTGCTTTTGTCTCCGACTTTAGTTTCTGGCAGTGAATTGTGGGATTTCCTTTCCCAAATGAGAAATTAGATCAAATTCCCAGCCTAGGAGCCTTAGCATGGACGTTCCTCTCTCTCTCTCTCTCTCTCTCTCTCTCTCTCTCTCATTCCCAGCCTAGGAGCCTTAGCATGGATGTTTCCTCTCCCTCCCTCCCCCCCTCCCTCCCCCCCTCTCTCTCTTCTCTCTCTCTCTCTCTCTCTCTCTCTCTCTCTCTCTATATATATATATATATATATATGTATATGTGTGTGTGTATATATATATATATATATATATATATATATATATATATATATATATATATTTTAAAGGGATGTGACCATTAAGAATAGCATCTCAACACATAATGCTGGGAAGGATAGGAAAGAGTGCTAGGACCAGAATGAGTCCATGCAGAGTTAATTACTCCAGGACACATGAGCAAAAATTCAGTGGTAGAGCTGACCTACTTACTAGTGATGCTGTTCGAGTTTATAAAGCACTCTGAGACTCTCCAGAGAAAATGTTAAGTAAACATGGAGCTGAATACACTATTCATTATTAACAAAATGCAGACACAGCCTCTGATGTTCACCTTGAAATTTCCCTGTGAAATTTCACTTATTTCCACTTATTTGTCCATTTCCTAATCTTGGGTTGGAGGTAAACATGTACTAAGAAATATTTTAGCTACAACCATCCAGCTTTGTCTTTGAGTTTTCCAGCTTGTCATGTCCACTTTTAAGGCTGAAGAAGCTGAGCAGATGAGGCAGGTTTGGAAGATGGAATAAACCCTGTTTTGTTCTTTGGTTTTCTTAGGGATGGCAGGCTGAAGGTGGGTGATGAGCTTCTAATGATCAATGGCCAGTCTTTGGTTGGTCTGTCCCATCAAGATGCTGTTGTTCTACTTCGGTCAGCTGAAGGCCTTGTGTATTTAGTAGTGGCAAGCAGGGTAAGTCATTTTGCATATATGATTTCATACATTGAAGCAAGCATAGAAGATTACAAGGTTCTTTTTTTTATAAGATGTCATCATCACCCTTATTGTTGAAAATGCAAAACTGGCTAAGGATGAATGAATGGACATTAGCTTTATGAATCTGCCTTATGAGAGGATTTGTTCAATTGGAAAATTTCTTTTTCTATCAAGGGCCATTAAAACCATGCAGAGAATCAGCTGGGGATTGGAATTTACAGCAAGTGGAATAAGACCACTTTTTAAAATAAGGATGCTATACTGTGAAGTAAAATGGATGTTTTAGAACTTTGCAGATGTTTAAAGCATCCATTTTATCTCTTAAAATTTCTGAAACTTCCTTTCAAACAAGTACTGGCTTTTTTGCTGTGAGTTCATCTTCAACATGGCATAGAGAGCCTGATTCAGTCTTTATCCAGGCAGAAGCTCCATTTCCCTGTTCGTTAGGCATCTAATTAACCATATCATACCATATGTAAGATTGAATGAATCCTACTATGAGTCTTGGGGATGGCACTTACTGTGTTATGATGAGATAGCTCAGGGATTGGGAAATCAGATGGATATTGTTGACCTCTCTTATCAGCTTTGCTAGTTGTCAGGAGTGATGGTAACTGCAATCCAACAACAATTAGAAGGTCAAAGATTCCCAATCCTTGGAATAAATAATAAAAATAACTTCAGTTGCTCAAGTACATTTTCAGAACTGATGTGTATTGCAAGTCAGGGTCTCCAATCTTGGCAACTTTAAGACTTGTGGACTTCAACTCTCAGAATTCCTCAGCCAGCTATGTCTTAAAATTGTCAAATTTGGAGACCCTGCTATGGGTGACTCTGTATAAATTTAAATTCTAGTCCTATAATTGAACAATTATCCAATTGCATTCACGTTTAGTGGAGCAAGTCTTAAGGTGTGCAGACTTAAAGTAACTTCAGTAACAATTGGAGTTATTAACTATCCAACACATTTGGCAACACTTTGCTTTTTTTCTCATTAGTATCAATGTTAAGCCATTTAGAAAAGTTGTCAGTAAGCTTGTTCTTAGTTGATGGAGTTGGGCTGTTTGCCAAATTGGCCCATCTTTCCATAAATTCTTCCTGCACTTACACCTTCTGTGGAAGTGACTTAAAATCTTGGAGGAAGTAGTCCTGCCAAAATATATTTTATGTGAACTAAAAGCATACATTTCTTTTATTATTGCAACTGAGGTGGATAATAATGTGCGTTTTATCAGTTATATGTCAGTTATGCAATAAAAGCACAAAGCTAACTAAACAAATGAAAAGCAGTGTGGTATCCATTTTTGAAATCAAAACCAAAGAGAATTTTGCCCAAACATGTTTGGTTCCTGATCTCCCATCACTTGGAGAATCAACAGAATTGTCATCAACATTGACTTCCTGTATATTTGAATGAGATCATTCATTCTTTAATGTGTCCAATGATCTCCTCAGGTGCATCTAAGATGGAAATTAACTTTTTTTTTAAAAAATATACCCTTGTTTCCAGCATTACCAGCCAAGGGAATTCTTGACAACTGCTCATCATCTACAGTGTGAAACTAATGCAGACTTACTTTATATGGTTGTTGGGCCAATTAAATGAATATATTCATATTTGTAATGGCAAGTATCATTCTTTCCTTCTTGTAGGAAGGAGCAGAAGAAGATGTTCTTCATTATCCATCTACAAGTTTGCCAGACCTAATTAGCACTTGTTCTGCTCAGGATACGGCCCCCTGGATTGACAATAAGGAGAATGAAGCACCGGAAGAGGAGGATGGAAAGGCCCCAGAGTCAGAAGTCCTGGAATCTGTAAGTATGATGTCTATGGAGATTCTTAGCCATCCAGATCAAAGGTGCTTTTTCCAAAAGGCAAGTGGACATTCTTGGCTTTTTCCCTGAAAACCTTTCATTTCCCATTCAGGAACTGAGGAAGTATATGAAAAAAACCAAGAAAGTCCACTTGCCTTTTGCAAAAAGCATCTTTGGGACTGTTAAGTATAATCTTTCACTGGAAACCATACTCAGCATTGCATGGCTTAAAAATCTTACTTGGGCTGATCTCAAAAATCAAGAAGTTGGAAAAGGTTAGTACTTAACTATCAGTAAAAGCCAGGGTACTAGGCTAAACTGGGAAGCTGAAAAATGTTCTGGAAGAATGCAATGACAAATCATTTTTGTAACAAAGCTACATAGATGACATCACATGGAGGAATCAGTGTCTATTGAAAAGATGCTTTTCTTTACAAGTCAATTCCACTCAAATTCTTCTTCTTTTTTAAAGAACAGGCAACTTTTATTATGTACATATGATGTTCTTGAAGATATGCACTTTGTCTGCATATATGGAGCCTTGTATCACAAAATTGAGATGAATTTGCATGTAAATTTAGGAAATGTGAATGATGTTAGCTTGCTTAAAATTGCAACTCGAATGACATTTACCACTTTCCTGGAATACTATCTGAACAAATATCGATTAACAAATTGGTCATCTCTTTTAGCAATTGCAGCTGCTTGAGAGGTATGTCAGAGAATCATGTTTTGCTTTCTTTAGTAAGACTATCATTAAAATTTACTAAAAAAATAATTCAGACATAATGTTTTTTGCTAAATAAACCATGATGACTTACTGGATCAAGACTGATCATGCTCTTGTTTTTTTTATGAAGCTTAATGAAGAATAATCAGCATCAATCACAGTTCTCCCTCACAAAAGAAACTGGTTTAATTTGGCCAGGAGAGGAAGGGAGCAGATAAACATAATTCCATTTCAGTTTATTCTTAGACCAACATTTATTGGCTTGCGATGATTGGACTTCAATGTGCCACTGTGGTTTACTTTCCTATTTAATATTTCATTTTAGTCAAACTCCCAATGAACTGCTTATGACCTTTGTAGAACATATTGTACTATGTATAAATAAGTCATATTATTTCTGAGCTTCTTCTTACCTCATTCTTTGTGCAATGTATTGATTCTGGATCTGCTGTTGATGACTGTTTTAGTGATTTATTTATCAATTACCATCTGGAGCTTTTCAGTTTGAGGTAAATATGATAGAAATCCCTGCTCCAAAGAATTAAACTGGACTTAGGAAGTTATGGAAGCTCCCACTTGATCAGCTTGGAAACCTGTTTCATCCAATATCCTCTTTCCTATAATATGTAATTGCTTGTGCCTATTTCAAATTACAAGCAAGAGACTATGGGCAGAAACGTAAAAGGGAACAGGATATCTTTGTGTAATTGAAGGGGTTAGAACTGGAGGATAAAAAAATATCTAACTATGGAAGAATAAATTAAGATAAGGAATTTACCTTTATTTATATTAACCATATTGGCCATCTATTTGTAGCATTAAGCCTGCTTGGAAAAAGATCAGAAGTGCTTGGGTACTTGCACAATTATCTTTCTGCTACGCATTAAAAAACCATATCTTTTTTTAGGCTTCTTTAAGAATCACCTTAAAAACACAGATGGCACTTTAAAGGAGCTGCATCTTTTTCAGATTTGTACAGAGCAAAAGAGGTAGCTGTTTTAATGAGGAATAGAGAGTTGCTCTCCTTGCAAAGTGTCATGACTTATTTTCTTAATAGTACAAAGTGCTGTTTCTGGTGCAGAATATAGAAAGGTTAGGATGTGTTAGATTTGGGAGAGATCAGGTGACAAGTATAAGAGTTTGAAGATACGGTAGGAGACATGTGGTTAGAAAAATAAGGTGAGTAATAAATGTACTAGGCAGCAAGGACATTCCATAACAAAATAGAACAAAAAATTCAAAAAAGTGTCAGCAGCTGTTAGGCTATTAAACCTTGATCAGCTACTGCGGTATTGGCAATGTTGAGATAGGGGATTAGTGGTTTCATTCTGTAAGACAACTTCCTTCACATTTTGTGTAGAAATGAGACTGCCCAGGGAGAAAAATCAATCCACAAGGGTTTACAGGCATCAGTGCAGAGAATAAGGTATGATTGCACAATAGAGCAAGCCCATATTTGAAAGCACAAATTAGATCTAGCTGTCTAATTGAATCAGAATCTGAAAGGCAAGTCTACAATTACAATAAAATATTAAAATCCAAGCATCAAAGTTTTATAATTGAGTAACTGAATAAATTTATGCCCAGCTACAGGGCAGAACCTCCCTATTCTTGGCCACTTCCAGAAAATAGGTCAGCTGCCAAGACCTTATGGTGCAATCGATTGACTTGTGCACACGCAGAATCACATGGCAGCAAGATGAGCAGCATATGAATTAAATAAATAAATACCTAAATAAATAAAGACATGCTAAGACAATAGTTGTATTTGAAGAACCTGCTTAACACATCCAGTTGCATTTAGACAACACACTAACCCTGGGAAGGGTTAAGATCAGTTAGCCATTTTTTGTAGCTGAGTCAGTTAGAACTGAATAGAAGAGTTAAGGATTGATAAAAGAATTCCCTATGACCACCAAGAAAAGTTGAAAGATATATTTGTGAACTCAACACTAGTTGAACTTGATATGAATGCCTTTTTTCCTTCTTTATGTCTTCTCTTTAGCTCAGAAACTAGTGGTAATCTTCACTTAATGATCCTAACTGGGGCCAGACTCCATTGCTAAGCGATGTGGATTTTAAATGAAACTTCATGTAATTGGTCTGCTTAGCATTTCCAGCAATTCAAGTTGCTGTCATTGAGTGGATTCCACATGGTCATTAGGTGAGGACCCATCTGGATCCAAGCCAATCATGGAGGAGAAAGTAAGGGACTGCCTTCACTTCAACTACTTCATCCACCTATGTCTTCTCTTCTCTGTCCTTTTGGCTGCCTGCCTACCTGCTGCCATTAACTGCAATCACCACGCAGCCCTGGCCACCACTCTGGTGCCTGCCCTATCTTGGGCCACTAGTATATTTATTTATTTATGAGACTTATATACTGCTTTAAGTGCAAGCACTCTCTAAGCGGTGTAGACCAGTAAGCAATGTATATATATATATTTACATTGCCCCCAACAATCTGGGTCCTCATTTTACCTACCTCGGAAGGGTGGAAGGCTGAGTCAACCTTGAGCCGGTGAGATTTGAACCGCTGACCTGCTGAACACAGTCAGCTAAAGTGGCCTGCAGTACTGCACTCTAACTGCTGTGCCACCTCGGCTGTGTAGTATATAAGCTGGGTCTTTCTGTTGTAAAAGGAGCCCAGGTTCCCCTAGATCAGAAACCTCTTTTTTTCTTTCAGTAGAACACAAGACATATCTAAGGAGGTTCTCAGTCATCCAGTCGTGATTATCCCAAAGGTGCTTTTTCGAAAGCGGATTAGACTTTCTTGTTTTCCCTTGAAGGCATTTTGCTTCTCATCCCAAAAGCTTCTTCAGTTCTGACTGAATGGTGGAGAATGGAAGGATGCAAAGATTTATATTCCTTGCAGTCCAAGGATTTATATTCTTTGCAGTCCTCTGGTTGTTAGCACTCTCTGTGAGAAAGAAAATGAAAAGTGCTAATGACCAGATGACTGCAAGGAATATACATCCTTCCATTCTCCACCATTCAGTCAGAACTGAAGAAGCTTCTTGGGTGAAAAATGAAATGTCTGCAAGGGAAAACAAGAAAGTCCAGTTGCCTTTTGAAAAATCACCTTTGGGATAACACAAAACATGGCAATATTGAATCCAGATTTTCCCCAGTTTTTATTTCAGAAGTCTGATTTAAATAAGACATATTGCCAATTTACTGTAGATTATTCATAATGCTATTTCCATCATTAGGCAACAAATTTTGGGTGCTTTTAAAAATCAATAAATCTTAACTTATTAATGTAATGTATACTGTATTTTTAAGTTGCTTGTGGGATTTTCTTACTTGGCTCTTCTGGGCTAGCCTGGCCCCATGCCTTGAGGTTTTCTTACCTTCCCAATGTGTTAGACTTCAGCTACTGTAACTCTTAATCAACAGGGCCTTCAACCGGCCAGTTAATATAACTTTGCAAATAATAAGGGCATAAGGGACTAATCATATGAATAATCAATCTTGGGACTCTGATCTGCTCATGGAAAGCTCTGAACACAAAATGATAGTAGGAAAACCACATTTTCCTTCCATGTGGAGTTGCAAAAAATACAGTAAAATGCTGCTGCAGGTGTTGAAAATTCTAAGATATACATGTGTAATTTAACACTGTTCTAAAATAGCAACCATTCATTTATACAAAGGCAAAGAATGTTGCTGTGTATTTTACATTCAACAGAATTCAGTTGTATTATGTTAACTCTCCCCAGGCCGTTACTTTCACTGGACAGATTGGATTTTTCAAAATTATTTCTAATTTTTCTGACTGCCTACCTCCTTATATAGTTGCCACTGCAAAAATACGGTATGGAATTAATTATATGGAGTAATGCATAGTACAAACTTTTCGCAAATAAGGTTGCTGTACTATAAACCTGCCCAATGGGAATTTTCTTGTGGTAATGTACAGAAATTAGGTTCTTTATTAAATGCATCCAATTATATAGTGATCTCTCATAGTTTGCCATTTTGGAAGGGGAACATTAGGATGGGTTCAGCCAGGTTTTTTATTTAAGAATCTCAACAAATACAAGAAGTTGTCATTTTCTTTGTATGGGTCTAAATACAGATTTGATCCTGAATGCAAAGAAAATCCTTGTTGCAATAGAATGGATTTACAGAAAGATGAAATTGGGACAATTCGGCGTGGCCGTCTCGCCGCAACTGACTTATGGCAGCCAACTTGCCACGAGACAACTTGCTGTGGCCAACTAGCTGCGGGACAACTCACTGGGCACAATTCAGCGTGGTATAACTC